GAAATACTGTAAATGACAAAAACAGAAAACTGTAGCACAAAGGAATCTCTCACTGCTCAAGTTTAGACTGGCATTTAGTGACTGGCCCTGGGAAAACTCAGCATGCAGGCTGCAGAAATCTGTAACTGAATCACAGATATTCTCACTGGTTCACAGACTGTCATTAAGGTCTCTGTCCACATTTCGTCAGGCCTTTCAGGTACTAGATATATTTAGAAAAAGGCTTTTTAAAATAAAACGTGAAGCAAGTGTAACAGCAAATAGTTTGGTAAAAAATGTATTAGATAAAGCATGTTAGAAGCCACACTGTAACCTGCATGAAGGACTAACTGATCCACTCACATCTTTAAGAATGTGAAGTGCCTTAAGACAACATGTGTTGTGAATTGGCGCTGTAAAAATAAACTGAATTGAATTGAATAGCATAGAAACAAAAGCAAATATTTGAACAGGAACCCTCTCCTGCAGGTCTTGTAACTCATGTCTCACCGTAGAAAGACAACTTTTCTGTTCCCTGATAACAGCGCAGCAGCCCAAGAAGCCAGTAACAACCACCAGGCTGCCAGCCAGGATCAGGATATAAGCTGAAACAGCAAATGTGCTGGAGGCCAACAAACTCAAGTAGTCGCTCTTCTCCACCAGGGTCCACACTCCTACACCCAAGACTGCAGCCCCACCTACCTGCAAAAGCAAAAAAGAAATCACTGTTTCAAAAAGGTGTTGCAAATGGCTATAAAGAAAAAAAAGTATATCATTTCCATTTATTCTTAAAGTAAAAAAAGACCAACATGAAATAACACTTTTTAGGGAAAGAAGAGGGTTAATTACCATTAGATGAGTCAGAACAGTGGAAAAGTACAAAACAGGCCATGAATAAGGGCAGAGGAGAAGAAAAGAGAGGAAACCTGAGGAGAAACATGGAAAAGTGGCACAAAAGACCCACAGGAGCACTGAGACTTCAGAGTGTAAGAAAAGGGCATGATGACCACTTCCTTCCAAACAATCCCTAGTGATTGACCCAGGGTGGCTTCTAGGTCTGTTTTTCACATCTCAGGAGGTCCACTGGCTGACAAATAGGAAATGCCTTCGATAGCCTTTTGCCTTCATCCTCCCTTCCCTTTCTGTCTAAAATAACCAACTAAACAGGCATTATTATGAAGTGGCTTGCTCTTCAGTACCTTGCAAAAGCATTCATACCAACTACATTCATCATATTTAAGTCATGCTACCATTACAAACATGTTTTTTATGGAATTTTATGATAGTGAATGATTGTGTAGTAAAAGAAAAAAATATGTAATTTTCCTTCATAAAAAGAATCTGAAAAATGTAGCATGTATTTGCATTTAGGCCCCCTGAATCATCAAAAAAACTTTGTGCTTTTACAGCTGCAGATCTTTGAGATTTCTCCACCAGCTTTGCATATCTGAGACTGAAATATTTTGCACAACTGTCTTTGCAAAATAGCTCAAGCTCAGTCAGATAGGATGGTGAGTGTTCAGACATCAACTTTTTCATGCTACAGATTCTGCATTGGATTTAGGTCTGAACTTTGACCAGGCGATTTTAAAGTGAGTATACTTTAATCTTTCCATTGTCCAGCTGGGAAGTGAACATACACACCAGGCCCAAGGATTTTGAAGCTTCTAAGATGTTTCCCGGATTGCTCTGTATTTAACTCCAGCTATCTCTTTTTTTTCCAAACCGTGTCCTGTCCGACAGAGTAGCGCTCAGAATTGTTGTCTGAGTGCCAAGAAAAAGCCCAACAGATTTACTTTCACAAGTTGAGCATTACAGCTAACGCTTTATAGCTCTGATTGATATTTATAAAATAAACTTTATTAGAAACTGCTTTGGGATTATTTCAATTGTTACGGACATGGAGACAGAACCGAAAAGGAAAAAAAGAGAGAGAGGTGGGGCAAAAAGGAAAAAAGGGAGAGAAGGAGAAAAGAATGGAGGAGAAAAAGAAGGATCAAGACAAGATAACACCCTGCTTGCTTCTACACCTGCAGAAATAATCATATTGACAGCTTTTTTACCAAAAAGTGCAAGGTACTTATGAATGCAAGACGTATTTAGTGGTAAATGCGGCTCATTATAGAACATTCGTGTATCTGTTAACACCTGAATCTAAACACCTGTGGGTCTGAGCGTGAGCGAGCTTGTGTATACAAGGTTTCTCCATACAAATATGCAATAGCGAGTGTGAGGAGCCACAGACCTGCCCCCCTGGACCTGGGACAGATACGGAGGAGATCTGAGCCATAGTCATCCAAAGGAACCCCAGAGCATAGGAACCCGAGAAGAACCATGGTGTGAGCCAGCACACACCAATGCACCCAGCCCCAGATACCGAGAACCACAAGTACACCAGCAGGTAGAGACATCAACCACCGGCTGGTAGCATGGCGGGGAGGGAACAGGCCCCACATTTGATGGGGGGCCTAAACTGATCCAGGAGAGGGGGCAGCCCATGCCCCAACCTGACACTAAAACAGGCACACACAGTCACAATCACACATTCCCACCCTCATGCGTACACATAAAAACACTCACACCCACGCACCCAACATAAAGACAAACAACAATGGACGTCGTACACTCACTCACACTCCCCATACACACTCTATACTCCCAGGTACTGGTGCTGATACACCCTAGGGGTAACCATCCCCCAGACCCAGGAGATGGTCCCCTTCCCTACAGGAGTGGAGACAGGCAGACCGCCCCAGCACCTGAACCTGGGCTGGGCTAGCCTGGGCTGGTGCCTGAACCCGAGCGACCCCAGCCCCGACCCAAGTACCCATTGACCCCCATCCTCATCGGGGAAGGCCATGTACAAAAGAGGGGTCTACATGGTCCAAACTAGCCCGCCAACCAGAGCCGGCACAGGATGAAATAGTCCCAACCCCCCAATGAATTCTGATCTTAACCCCCTCATGGGATTAGGATCAGCCATCTCCAGCCATCTCTACAACAACTCTGACCAGTTTTTCTGCTCCTGCTGAAGAGAAGCACCCCCACAGCATGACTCTGCCACTACGGCGTTGCAATGGCTTTCTTCTTGCTGCTCTTCCAAAAGGGTCAAATTTGCGAACTTCACAATTAAGTTTTTTGTATCCACTTCACAATAATGCACTACTTCATGCTGATCTTTCATACAAAAACCCAATAAAATAATGTGAGGTGTTGTAATGTGACCACATGTGAAAACGTTTAATAGGTATGGATGTATAATGTCTGCAAGCCAATATAGAACATTTCTTTTTCAAAAGAGATCAGCTGGTGTTCTAAATATATTACAAGTAACTAGCTAACTGTTACTTTAGCAGGAAACTCTACCTAAGAGACCAGAAAGCTGGTTTGATATCATTTCCTGCCACCGATTATATGCGAGCCCAAAATAATCCAACACACTTTAGGTTAATAGTATGTCTACTTAATCAGACTTTAAAGCTCTCATTTCTTGGTGACTGTTCTCGTGCTGCATGGTGGTGCAGTTGGTGCAGCAAGAAGGTCCTGGGTTCGACTTCCAGCTAGGAGAGTTTGCATGTTCTCCCCTTGTATGTGTGGGTTCTCACCAGGTACTCCGGCTTCCTCCCACAGTCAAAAAACATGACTGTTAGGTAAATTGGTCTCTCTAAATTGCCCTTAAGTGTGAATGAGTGTGTGCATGGTTGTTTGTCCTGTATGTCTCTGTGTTGCCCTGCGATAGACTGGCGACCTGTCCAGGGTGTACCCTGCCTCTCGCCCGTAGACTGCTGAGACCAGTCCCCCCGTGACCCACTATGGAAAAAGCGGTATAGAAGATGAATGAATGAATGAATGAATGAATGAATGGATGTTCTCGTGCTTTACAACCTGTGGTGTTAAAAAAAAACATAGCATATAGGAAAAGCAGCATCATTTAGATTTCTGTTAGTGTTTTTCTTATTAAAAGCCACTTACCCAAAAGAGAAAGTTAAAGACAAAGAGCAGGTACTTGAGACAAACAGTCAACCAGTCTTCCTCATCATCTTTATAAGCCGCTGACATCTTAGCTGTAGTTCAGTCCAGAGTGAGCAGACCTTTCTCTTTTATGCACAAAAAAAGAAGGGAAGGAATAAAACATGCAATGAAACATGTCTTTAAAGCTGGCTCATTCTTACCCTAGAATCAACTCATCACTAACTGCAGCTTTTTGCAGAAAACCTGGTGAGTTTATGGTTTCTTCCGCACAAACAACACCAGACTTCCCATTTCTATGCTGATTTCTATGCTGTGCCATTTAGTTTTCAGCACTTTTGTCATGTTTACATGGATTGTGTTGAGTAAAGAAACCAATCAAATTGCTATTTCCGTGCAGAAGCAGTTGATTGAAATTTCAGGGAGCTTTCTTCCACTACAGGGTGCAAGTACGGTTTTGATTTATTTATTCACAGATGTTTGCATATCCATATCACTGATGCAATCTTTTACATTCTTGAGCTCCAAGCAGTAAAAAATGTTTGAGGTTGCATCTTTTTTTGTGTCAAAACCTGCATCCTTTCATTATTCATGGTATGGAACAAACCATAACCCTCTGAATCATTAACAGAGAATAGTGTGTGGTCTTGATTCTGTAAATAAAAGGCCAGGAAGTAGAAAGCACTCAGAGCCATAAAGCTGATCTATAGTGTTGCCTCCAATCGACAGCAACAAAGAAAAAAATACATTAGGTTCAATAAGGCACCCAATAAAAGCTAACACAGTGACTAGATCAGTCAATGTTGCCTTAAAAAAAAGGTATTTACACCCTTTTATATTCATAATCTATATTCCATCAAGGTACCATCACAAACTTTAATGCACTGCACTCTTAATGTATTGAATTGTAAAAAAAAAAAAAAAAACCAATAGGTTAAAACTATGCCCCAATGATATTTGTGGTTATAATGCAAAAAAGAATGCGGAAATGTTCAAAAGGTATAAATACATTCATAAGTTTTAGTATCTGCAGTGAAATATTTAGTATAAAGGGCTGGGTGGGGCAGTTGGTAGCACTGCTGCCTTTGCAGCAAGTAGGTCCTGGGTTTAAGTCTCGGCCAGAGGTCTTTCTGCATGGAGTTTTTGTAAAATGCATGCATGGTTTCTACCCAGGTAGTCTGGCCTTCTCCCACAGTCCAAACACATGACTGTTAGGTCAACAGGTTACTCTAAATTGTCCTAGGTATCACTGTGTGTGTGTGCATGGTTGTCCCGCGTGTGTCTATGTGATGGACTAGCAACCTGGTCAGGGTGTAGCCTACCTCTAGCCCAATGACCGCTGTAGATAGGCACCAGCCCCAAGGCAATCCTGCACAGACCAGAGGGTATAGACTACGGATGGATGGATTTAATTTTAGGAAAAAAAATGTATGGATTCCAACATGCATGAATATGATTATGGGTGACTGTAGTATGAGATGTTTATCTTCTGACCAAATAATTTATTACAGCAACTTTTGTTGTCATTCATTTGAACTGAGCAATGTAGTGTATTGGGTAACTTTTTATATCGGTTAATAAAAAACAACTGTATGTTGTATGTTTATTTCTCTTATGATTGCAGTAAGATAGTTTTTTGTGTTTCTGAATTTGCATGTTTGCTTGGTGTTTCCTCGCGACAAACGCATTTTTTTTTTATCACAGCTCGACATTCTGTTATATAGAATTTATTTTTTTACTTAGTTGAACATTTTGTCACTATTGTTGTGTGCATCCTTTGCTTTAAGTGAAAATATATTTGTTACATTTGACGTTATAAAACGTGCTCTATAAAATAAATCTTATACACTGATTGATAAAACAAACGTTCATCTAATAAGTTATAGTATTAATACCATATCTTAAACATAGCCTATAAACTTTGTTTCTAAGGAAACAGTACGTAACCCTGGTGTTAACTCTTTCAGTACAAGGCCTCCCTGACTGCGCTCAGTTCAGGTCCGCAGTGTTGAAACGCTTTGAATGACCCGTTTTCTCCTATGAAAAACATGCCCTGCCCCGACGTTTTTGAACTTTGACCACCCTGCTGTGTGTTTCACCGTCATAGACTGCGGAAACATAAAGGAAAATATTTATTTTTTCAACGCCGTACGGCAAACTTTCTTCCGCACTTCCTCGGTCATGGGGCATACACAGTCGAGCATCCTGTAAAACCACACCTGCGTTGATGATACGCAGGACAAAGTTTAACAATATTACCAAATATTTATCTAAAAACATACGTCCCAATCTCTCAACCACCATCATACTCACCGTTTTAGTGCTGGGAAAAAGGCTTCAGATTCCTGCTGTTTCCTTCGGAGCACAGACGACACCACAGAAGAGGTGGGCGTTTTGTCCGGTCAAGCTTGTTGCTTTCAGAATATTCCACTTGCTACGGCGGTGCGTTCGTGTGCAGCTTGTATTTTTAAATACTATACCTTTTAGACAGACGGAACAGCAGCAGAAAGATTTTACTGTGCAAAAAAGACCAAGTTATATATTTATTTTAGATGTATGTAATTATTTTGAGAGCCATACGCATTTATATTTTGATACAAAATGTGCTTTGTTGACGGACCAAGTAATTTTCCTGTGGTTTAAAATACAATTGTTTTTCATGAAGTTCTTTTCCTGGCACTCAGAAAAATAATATTGCTAATACTATATAATGTTTAGCGTCGGTTTTCTGTTTGATTGTTTTTTGATTAGCTGTGAAAACAACCTGGGTAGGGATCTACTTTTAACCAACAGTTGTTATTTCCAGCACAAACCTGATTACAGTGTAACCATACAGCCCCTCTTAAGTATTTCTGAAAAAAGTACGCATAAACAGAGCATCACCGAGAACCAACGGTGCCACCATTCAATAAATGATTTGTTAAAAAATGTTTTATATAATTTGGATACAATTCAAATACTTACACTAAATCAAATAAAACTATTATTTATCATTATTTAAAGGTGTCAAAAAGCTATTAGTTAAGCAATACATAAGGAAATGTGGAAATCAGAAGTTATATTTTTTTATTATTATATGTTAATATTATATATAATTATTTCGGCATTTATTGAATTGTTTAATTTTTTCTATGATACAGTCTATCAATAATTAACTCAAACTTACACTTTAGGTCTTCAAATAGACTACATCTGATTGGTAAACTTGCACAGACAATCAAGTGCAATCACCAATCACATTTATCTAGCAGTGTCAGCCCCGCCCACTGACTTTGATATCTGAGGCTGACGGATTAAAATATAGTCAAGATGTGTTGCGACTATGACATGAATAAAGAAATAATTGAATATCGATGTATAATGCACATTTTAAATATTTATTTTCACATTTACATATTTAGGAAGGTGTTGGAATAGAGATATATTTGCATGTTTATTACATAATTTGCTATCTAAATGTTTATTTAATTATTTATGTGTTTAATGCATGTCTTTTCAAATGTATTTGTTCATCACATTTGTAAATAAATGTACCCACCTATTTATGTATTTGATTGTGGCACTTTTATCCCATGATTCTTTCCTATTGCTAGTTTGATACTTTCATATTTCAAATTGACTGACACACAGTTCTGATCAGAAGTTTATAGTCATCATGGATATGACTGTCATGTTTATTTTGGGGTTTTATTGTTGCATTGGGACTGTTAATGTTCCATGGTATAATGATGATACAACAGACACGATCATTTTTTTTTTTTTTAATCATAACTGCATGCAATAGTTTAAATTTTTTATAAACATTTTCTCAAAATTATGCATACAGGCTCAGATATCTACCACCACCCTTACTTATATTTTGTATATGTCACATAGTAAGTTGCACCTCCATCACACACACTTTATCCATTTCAAAGCCAAATCTGATGTGTTTATTTAATCATTTTTTATAGAGATGCATTATTTCCATGTTTCAACTGTGTAGTAGTTGAGTTGAGGTAAAAAAAAAAAAAAACATTGGGAGATAGCTTTTATTAATTACTCCACCCACTTGTGTAATCCATTATTACCTGTGAAGGTGAGACAAACGCTTAGCATGATGCTGCCACCGCCATGCTTGACAATTGGTGGCTACAGTTTTCTGAGTTGTAAAACTACAAACATTACCAGTCCTTAAATTGTTGTCTTCTGTCAATAAATTGTCTTCAAAAGAAGAATCAAAGTTCAAGATATCTGATCCTTTATAATATTCCTCACTTCCTAACTTCTTTCAACTTTCTTTTTCATCTTTTCTTTGTTGGGGTTTTTATAAGACTGTCTCCAGTATAAATCTACCTAAAACTGAAAAAAACACATTTCGAAAAAACATGACTGGGAGCGACCATGAGGAAGATAAACCCTAGTTTTCAGACAGTGTCTATTGGTCCCAGTCTTTATATATTCTCACTGAGATAAGGAAAAGAAATTAAGGGAAATCATCTGAAACAATGGATGAATATACAACAACTCACCCCAGAGGGTTAATATTGGCTTGATTTTACCTGTTTTGATATGGTTATGGGATCATTGTCCCAAGGGACCACACCGGTTTTGTCCAAGCTGTTGATTTGAGGTTAGTTTGAAGAATTTAGAGATGATAAACGTAGTACCAAAGCAGCCCCATCAAATTTCTGCAATGCACCAGTAAAGCTTTCACCAAAATAGACTCTCAGCATGTTGCTGACACCACCATGCTTGACCTCTGGTACAGTGTTCTTAGGTCTGAAAGCCTTGAATTCTCTCAATGTCCTTCTGTACTCTACATAGGTAAAGCTGAACATTAACTATTTTTTGTTAAACTGATCAACACACATAGAGCTGTCTTATACTTGTTTTTACCTTTATTATCAGTCAAATCATTTAGTTCTGAAAGAAGTATAACTGGAACACAACCAAACTGACAATACTGTAAAAATATATATTTGTAAATTAAAATGAAGGCACTGCTATTTAAAGAAACACTCTCTAGACGTAACAATAAAATGTTTCCATGCCAACTTCCGAATGATCACTGATTATCTTCAACACAGTAATCCTTATTAGGAGCAGACTTCCTCTTCTACCAAAACAGACCCCCTTGGTAAGTATGTTTTTGCCTCAACTTCCAGGAGTGTAATTCAATATGTAAACTAATAGGAGTAAATGATGACCCGAGGCATTTGTGGTACCTTGACTGGCGACAATCAGTCTGCCAAAACAACATTAATTAGTAAGAATTGCAATCCATCAAACTTAAATATTTTGTTCCCCCATTAAACTTCATCCAGCCACAGTCAGGAAAAAAGCAAAATTATTAATGTTCATTGCTAGGAATTTGGAGCATGCTGGTTTTCAGTCTCCATAAATGTGACACAAGGTAGCAGGGGTAAGTTTCCACAGATGCCAGCTCATTTCAATGAGCAGCCTGGTTCTGCAGGGGTTCGTTAACACCTCTAGTGCTTTTGTGTTTTGCTGATTCTCTAATTTTTTATCCCAAAAGCAGGTGAATTAGGGTGTAGCTGAGCATGCATGTAAAGCACAAACTGGTTAAGGACAAAAGAACATAACATTCTTCAAATTGTACTGTCAGATAAACTCATGCACTAAGAGAAGTAAATATTGAACTGGAAATAAAATGCATAATTTGCTTGCTTCTTAAAACAGGATTTTTGTGTCCAATTTTCCCAATATTTTGCAGTGGCTGACCTCTTGTGGTCAAACTCTCCTGGATGCAACAGAACATGTAAACATGGCCCAGATAAAAATAGAGCATCTTTATTTACAAGAGATGATCATGACAATCATTTATCTAACACAATCCCAAAGACAAGAAATTTTCAACGGGAAAAAATTGACACCAAGAAGGGTTTTTACTCTTCATACTCTTTGCTACTCACTGATGGAAGAGAAAGAACCAGAGAGTTCCCCAGAGGCTGTTGAAAGTAAATTAGGAAAACTATCACTGTAAAAGCTTAGGGCAACGCTTCCTATCTCAGAGCTCAGCAATACATACTAAGTACTAAAGCAACGTCAGAACTAAAAGCAGTCTGTTTATGGGAATTCACTGTCAGCAGATGGAACACAGAAATGTGGCATAGCACCAGACAGTT